TTTTAGAGACCGAGTGCCCAAAAACTGGCCCCGCCCCTGCTCCATCCCCCTGCCCCACTTCCACCCCCACCCCACCTGCCCGCAGGACCACTCACCATCTCCAGGGCCCGCTGCAGATCGCCCAAGCAGCCCACGGCCACGCCCTCTGCCCGCACCGCGCAGCATCAACTGTATGATGGGGCGTGAAGGCAGAGTCTTCTCTATGTTGCCTGGCTGCCATGTCCTTGGCTGCGCTGCTCCACATGGGCCACGCTCGGGGGCGACTCTCCTCCAGAGGGGCTGCTGGTAAGGAGGGGGTCGCAGGGGGAGGCAAGGCTGGGGCAACGGCACGTGTGCCCACAGAGAGAGCTCTGAGTGCCGCCTTTGGCACCTATACCATAGGTTCACCACCACTGGTATAAGAGGTTTAAAACTATTACAAAGCTATCTAGAAGGCGTTTAGGAAAAGGCAATGTAGTAGTTAAGTATTGTTTTAGCTACTGCACCCAGAAGGATTACTTAGTTCAATGTTTCTCAACCTTGGCAACTTTAAGATGTGTTGACCTCAACTGGCTCAGGAACTGACTTGCTTGTGCCATTGCCTCGGGTTTTTTCTATGTAAGAGATCTCACATAGAATTCCATCAGCTAGTTCTTCTCAATATTTTAGTTACACAGAGGCCGGGGGCAGGGCTGAAGTTCCATATCTAAATAGTTGCAATTCAAATTTTGCATTACAGTGGCTTTCTGCAGTTAATCATATAATAATAATAATAATAATAATAATAATAATAATAATAATAATAATAATAATAAAGTTTGAAGGGACCTTGGAGGTCATCTAGTCCAACCCCCTGCTCAGGCAGGAAACCTTATACCATCTTGGACAAATGGCTGTCCAGTTTCTTCTTAAAAACTTCCAGTGTTGGAGCGTTCACCGCTTCTCGAGGCAGGTTGTTCCACTGGTTAATTGTTCTAACTGTCAGGAAGTTTCTCCTTAGCTCTAGGTTGCTTCTCTCTTTGGTTAGTTTCCACCCGTTGCTTCTTGTCCTGCTTTCAGGCGCTTTGAAAAATAGCTTGACTCCCTCTTCTTTGTGGCAGCCCCTGAGATATTGGAACACAGCTATCATGTCCCCCCTTGTCCTTCTCTTCGTTAAACTAGACATACCCAATTCCAGCAACCGTTCCTTATATGTTTTAGCCTCCAGTCCCCTAATTATCTTTGTTGCTCTTCTCTGTACTCTTTCTAGAGTCTCAACATCTTTTTTACATCATGGTGACCAAAACTGGATGCAGTATTCCAAGTATGGCCTTACCAAGGCATTATAAAGTGGTATTAACACTTCACGTGATCTTGATTCTATCCCTCTGTTAATTCAGCCTAGTACTGTGTTGGCTTTTTCGGCAGCTGCAGCATACTACTGGCTCATATTTAAATGATTGTCCACTAGGATTCTGATATCCCTCTCACATTTACTACTATTGAGCAAGGTACTCCCTATACTATACCTGTGCATTTGGTTTTTCTTGCCTAAATGTAGAACCTTACTTTTTTCATCATTGAATTTCATTTTGTTAGTTAGCGCCCAGTGTTCAAGTCTGTCCAGATCCTCCTCTATCCTAAGCCTGTCTTCTGGAGTGTTGGCAATTCCTGCCAGCTTGGTGTCGTCTGCAAATTTGATGAGTTCCCCATCTATCCCCTCATCCAGATCGTTGATGAAGACGTTGAAGAGCACTGGGCCCAGAACAGAGCCCTGGGGCACCCCACTACACACTTCCCTCCATGTAGGTGTGGTTCCATTGAGGACCACACACTGAGTACGGCCGGTCAGCCAGCTACGGATCCATCTGGTGTGATGCTGTCTAACCCGCATTTTTCTATCTTATCAAGTAGTAGGTTGTGGTCTACTTTGTCAAATTTCATAGGAACCCCCAACAAAAAGGTATATAAGTTGGATTGTGTCCCCCCCCTTATCAACACTAATTAAAACTTGACTTTGAATGTAGGAGAAGAATCAGCCCAAGGCCATGTTCCTTACTCCTAACCCAGACCAGAAGGATACCATGATCAATAATATCAAAAACTGCTAAGAGATCAACAAGAGCAAAGATGAATACACTACACCAATCCTGTTCCCTCCACAGAATTTTCTTAAGAGTGATCACTAGTGTCTTGGCCCCATACCATACTGAAGGAAAGGTGAAATATACGTCTAACAAAGATAAATAAATATCTCTCAACATAGAGGAACAGCAACACTGTTAATATTAGTAATAGAGCATGTCTTTATTATAGTTGCTCTGGATTTATTTTTATGCTACATCCTTCATGTTTTTTGTATGTTTGTATATATTCATGCACATTTATTCAATGCTGCTTACAGTTCAATAATTAATTGTTCTTATTACACAGTAGTATAGTAGTATATGCAGGTGTTCATCACCAACCATATTGATATCAAAATGACACATATGGTGATATCATTCTCAAATGATTAACTTAAGGGCTTAAGTTAACACACGAATGTTTCTCATATATCTAAAATCTGCAGACTAAAGTAAGGCTATTCCATGGAATTTTGCCTTTTATCAGCAACCACTGATGCCTTTCTAATTAGAATTTCCTTTGTATATTTGCTACAGAAGTAGATTAATTTAAACAGTCTGTTCAACTTGCCAGAGGGTACATGGCCAGCAAGCTCATGTTCTGATTTCATTAGCTATAATGGGATTTTTTTTCAACAACAACAAAAAACAAGAATAAAAATTTAGAGTAAATAAAATAAACTAGAACTAGAAAAGGACACACATTTATGAATATCAGGTGTAGCTCCAAATAGGTTATATATTTTGTAATATGGAGGCAATTTGTAAAATCATAATCACTTTTCTTGAATCTCCTTCTTGTTTCACAATGAACTCAGATATAAGGTCTAGCAAGCTAGCTGCAATGTTAGGACCTGGAAATTCATATTTAGTAATGCTCATTTTGTTAATGTTGTTAATTTTATATTCCTCTATTTTTCTCTGTTTGTTTTATTGATATATGCTACTATACCCTTTTTCATTTTCCATTGTTTTATTCATGCCCATCTTGAATTTTGGAAAAGGTTAAATTTACTTTCCTGTTTTCTTCCTTCTTGTTCTTTTACCCTTGCATTTCCCTCTCTGTTTCTTCCTTGTTATTCCAATTCATTATTGGATCTTGGAGATCAAGATTGTCCATTACCTAATTACAGTTGTATATTGTTTAAAATTATTCCTGTTTACATTTCTCAAAACTTTTGTTACATGCCTATATCTCAATAGGAAGTCTGAATTGTTTCCAGCACTCTTCTTAATCACTAATAGCTTAGTCTCTTGACCAATATATTTCATCTGGTACTATACTTGATCTTAGTCAAAAGACTCATGCATAACTATTTTTCAGTGCCTACATAAGATCTTACATTTCCTTTACTTAGATTAAATTAGAGAGGGTCTAATCTAATTCCTAAATTCTATATTCCAGGTATCCAAATGCAGTATTAAGCAGTGAATACATGGACCTGCATTACAGCACATTGGTTGAAGTTATTGTTCTCTCCCACAGGTTTGAATTCTTTCCCTGTTGAAGGCAATTACAAATCAATATTATTCAGGATAATCTCACAAAAACTTCCACATCTTGGTTTTTCTATGAGGCACTCCTAATGATGGATTATGAGCATGCACCCATCATATTTAAATAATGTATCGAAGATCTTGAAGCCCTACAGGACCAATCTGCTCTATGTAGAAATGCAGAGCTGTCAAGCCCTTTTAGAAATCAGCAAGATATTTATGTCACATAACTGTTTCCAAATTTTGAACACTAACTTTAGTATGCTTTAATGTTCCCTTCACAAAAGTTTTGGAGAGATGATAACTAATAGTTCTCTATGAGGTGAGACTGTGCATCTCATGAACAAGGGGGACCTCTTATGTTGTAACCTCTGAAAGGACTCAGGGACCTGCCTTATATCCTTGGGGATCTTTTTAAAGTATAATTATTATTATTATCAGATCACTATGAATCAGTCTCCTTTTTCATAATGTTGTTAAACTGCAGATTATTGATTTGATTTTGATTGACTGAAAAGCCCATTTCAACTGTAATATTTTATCTTGCTTTGTTTTTATTCTTTTTTATTTTTAATTTATGTTCTTGTTTGCAATTCTGGTCAATAACTATAATAAATCATAATAAAAATATTCACATCTCATCTGAAACTTCTCTTTGTCATTATTTCTATGATTTCTTGTCCTTTGTTTGTATTGTCTTCTTAATTTAAAATTAACTTATGTACAAGAAATGTGTAAAGACTTCAACAAGAATATGCGGTAGGGAGGAGGATGTAGCAAGCTAAATAGGGTGATAGTTACAGTAAGTTGTACTTGTCCAAATTTAGAATTCAAGTATCATTAATTTTTCAGATTGTCTGCAAATTTCCTTAAGATTAACTTGCTGATCCATTGCAAAATTTAAAGGCAGCTGGCTTATTTGTCTAAGTTGTTCAACACATCTTTAATTTTCTGCAATTAATTGTGTTGGTTTTAGTTTCCCATTGTTTGCTGTGCTTTCCTACTGCCTCTTATTTCTTGAGAATAATAAAGTTGTATCAGATCTTTTCTTGCTTTCTCTTCTGCTGCTTTTAAAATGTCATATCATATACATTTTACTCTTGTAGTAAGTTTTTTTTACTATTACTATAATAAAAAAATATTACTATTACTATAATAAAAAACTATTTTATTATCTGTTACAAATGTACATCCAGTTGTGCCTTACATAAACAGGGGGGGAAGGGCAAAAAAACAATGCTGAAGATGGATTCAATTCCACAAGATGGTTTCTAAGCTGCAAACACCATTTTGCTAAGAATAGCATATTTATTTTTATACCAAAAAAAATTATTTACAGGAACATCTCTGAATAATATTAAATAGCCAGCCGGACCTTCTAAAATATAAGTAATCTGGATTGTTTTTCTTGCTTTGTAGGTTGCGTAAGTGTAGTGGCTATAATACAGCAGCTTTCTCAAGTCCACAACTCTACAGTAAAAGCAACTCTGGAAAGATTCTGTACCTACTTACCTGGTAAAAAAACAATATGCACTACATATACCAATTAGTTTACATGCTTATGATATGATATACAATACTGCACTTGTTATAATTAGTTACAGATATTTTGAATTAATGAAAAGTAATAATTTATCTCAGAGCAGCTCTCAATTCATCCTTCTCTAAAGAAAACACAGAATTATTCACAGGGAAACATGATCAAAGTTTTAAAAAGTATTGAACCATATATATTATTTGTGGGATACAAAGATGCTTGATATTTGAGTAATGTGTCCATCTTAGCAGTGGAAAGGCATAGAGACTATAGCATCAACTCTAAAACCATATTGCATATTTTTGCAAAATTACCTATCTGTGGTAGCATGCGTACTAGTCCATCAAATATACCACTATTGGTCCTTTCTAGCAATCAGTATGAGGTTGCTCTTGGAGATAATGTAGATGAAAATGTTTTTTCAGTGAAGTTGAACCAGTATTTGTGCTGATATTGGGGACTCTGTAAAAAAAGCAAGAACTTTGAGTACATTTTAATGATATGCATGGATATAGCCCTAGTCACTCACACAGGATTTAATTTCACTGTTCAGAAGAAATAACCTTTTCCTAAGCAAAAGGAAAACCAGCAAATTTATGCCTTATCACAGAAATTTGTTTTTGATGTTGCTGGCAGACTGATGATACTTTGTGAGCAATTTGCCCTGGCAGGAATGTATACATCTTGCTATTGTAGCCATACTTAAATGCTTCTTATCTTACTAAATCTGCAATGTTGTTATTGAGTAATTAATTAAAAGTGATTTTCTTCTTTTCCAGGGGCCCAGAATATATTATAATTATGACTGCAAATTGGCTGTTGGGAATATTAATTGTTGAGGCCAAGACTGCATAGCAGTTTATTTTTGAAATTTAGCTTTGCAACTTTCCTGTAATTTCAAATAAACAAGAAATTAGTAAAGGTTTATTTTCTTATAAGGGATGAAGTCAAGGGAAATTGCCTCATAAATGCACTTCTACTGAAGATGGCTCTGAAAAGAAAAAGAGATATTGAAATAAAATTGTTTTTTTAGTTAATAACAACTAATTAATTAGTGTGTCAATAAATTATTGCCAGACAGCTTTCATTACAATAAAATTTAAATTATTTATTCTGAGTATGTTAGGCACAAGGTAAATTGTTCAAGGTTGCCCAATAAGCTTAATGAAATCAGTTTAAAGCCTTAGTTCACAGCCAGAAAATCTATCTGTCATTGCATATATTTTTTGTAATAATTTTTGTGACATTTAATAATAATAATAATAATAATAATAATAATAATAATAATAATAATAAAGTTGGAAGGGACCTTGGAGGTCATCTAGTCCAACCCTCTGCTCAGGCAGGAAGCACTATACCATTTCAGACAAATGGCTGTCCAACTTTCAGTGTTGGAGCATTCACAGCTTCTGGAGACAGGTTGTTCCGCTGACTAATTGTTCTAACTATCAGAAAATTTCTCCTTAGTTCTAGGTTGCTTCTCTCTTTGGTTAGTTTCCATCCACTACTTCTTGTCATGCCTTCAGGTGCTTTGGAGAATAGCTTGACTCCCTCTTCTTTGTGGCAGCCCCTGAGATATTGGAAGACTGCTATCATGTCACCCCTTGTTCTTCTCTTCATTACACTAGACATACCTAATTCCAGCAACCGTTCCTTATATGTTTTAGACTCCAGTCCCCTAATCATCTTTGTTGCTCTTCTCTGTACTCTTTCTAGAGCAGTGGTTCTCAACCTTTCTAATGCCATTACCCCATAATACAGTTCCCCATGTTGTGGTGACCCCCAACCACTTATGCATCACCGGGTGCCAGGGGCGTGGCCAAAGAAAAGGGGGGAAAATGGCGGACAGCCTTGTTTGGTGACCCCCGTGAAATGGTCGTTCGACCCCAAATGGGGTCCCGACCCACAGGTTGAGAACCATTGTTCTAGAGTCTCAACATCTTTTTTACATCATGATGACCAAAACAGGATGCAGTATTCCAAGTGTAGCCTTACCAAGGCATTGTAAAGTGATATTAACACTTCACGTGATCTTGATTCTATCCCTCTGTTAATGCAGCCTAGCACTGTGTTGGCTTTTTTGGCAGCTGCAGCACACTGCTGGCTCACATTTATGTGATTGTCCACTAGGACTTCGAGATCCCTCTCACAGTTACTACTGTTGAGCAAGGTACTACCTATACTATACCTGTTCATTTGGTTTTTCTTGCCTAAATGTGGAACCTTACTTTTTTCACCATTGAATTTCATTTTTTTTAGATAGCACCCAATGTTTAAGTCTGTCAAGATCCTTCTGTAACTTAAGCTTATCTTCTGGAGTGTTGGCTATTCCTGCCAGCTTGGTGTCATCTGCAGATTTGATGAGTTCCCCATCTATCCCCTCATCCAAATCATTGATGAAGATGTTGAAGAGCACTGGGCCCAGAATTATATGAAAATGAAAGCAGGTTGATCTTGTTCCCTCTATCATGTCTATTTTCCCTGCTACGTAAATATTAATATTGACTTCTTCAGTAATTTAGAATCTTATGTCTTAAACCAGGGCTTTTTGAACTGGTTCCATGGACCTATAATTCTGAAAATTTGATTTGGTTCCATGGACGATTAACTGCAAAACATACACATACGTACTTAGACAAAAGTTTATCAAACACAGCCAATTCTCCATCATTATAGCTTTGCTTCTTGATCAGGGTTCTGGATTTTTTTAAAAAAATTACTAGATCTCACAATCTGAAAATGTTTGATAACACTTGACCTAGAGCACATACAAACTTTCAATGTACAATAGGTTCCCATTTTCAGATTGTCATTGTAGCATACGGATGAATAACCAAGTCAGAAAGGACATGCATACTGGGACCAATGTGATCCCATTTACCCATTCATATAATATTTCCAGTATCTACTAGAAACAAACAAAAGGGCTACTCAATCTTATCTGGGAGCTTTCTATGACATCTCTTTGACTTCTGTTATAAAAGCATGGTGCAGTGTAGAATAACTTTTCCTTTCAACTAGAAGGATGAGTAAATACCTTCACATGTTTAAATACAATCTTATGAATGCTCATTTTTTTCAATATATATTTTTCCAGAAACATTCCACCTACAAGGTATTTGTTTTTTGCTTGTTGAAATATATGGACCAAAGATTATTAAATTGTAAGTATTAATGGCAATAAATAAATAACTATTGCTATGTCATGCATAATTAATGCTTGCCCATCACAGATGGCATACTCTGGCCTTATTAGTCAAATAATGCTCCCAATAAAACCAGGAGGTCTTTGGTATATCCTGCCGAGATTCATACAGCCCCTTGTCCTGCCCTAATGTAGACAAGAATGCAAGAACTGGCTCTTTTTCCAGGCTTGGGACTAGAGTGAATGGCAGGCTTTTTGTGAATTGTTTGATCTGTGAGATGATAGGGTTTTTAACATTCATAGATATATCCCAAGATTTCTTATGGGATTTCTCTCCTGTGCTTTTAACTAGTATAGATCCAGTGCAATAAATCTGTCTCATCTATTTACACCATTTAGTGTAATGGTTAGACGCTGGCTTAGAAGCCAGCCTCATCTTAGATATGAAATCTGGGCCAAATACTCTCAGCCTCACCCATTTCACAGGGTGGTTGTGGGGAAAATAGGAGGAGCAAAGAGTGTTAGATATGCTCACTGCTTTGTTACTTATGCAGTAATAAAGGCAGGATAAAAATCTAACAAACAAATAATAAATAGTAGAGTGCTGCTGTTTAGTGCATAGTTTTGTATTTATAAAACTATCACTACTCTAGAAGGAATTCAGTCTAAAAGCTGAGAACTGAACTCCAAGATTTCCATTCAGATTCATCTTGCCTCCAGATTCATAGGGCTCAAACATAAGTCCTGTTAAAATGAGCCCTTAAAACTTGAGTTATTCCTCATGTCTTGTTGTTTTATTCAAATTTTCTCTTTATCCACCACTAGGCCTTGAATCAATCAGAACTAGGCTGTGGACATGGCAGGCAAGAGTGCATGCGCATCCCCTCTTGTGCGAGCAGTGGACGAGTACGTGCGCACATGCTCTATTTGTGCCCACTCACTCAGAACAAATCTCTCCCCCCCATCCACAAAGGCAGAAAGGTTGGGGAACTCTGTTCTAAGCAATATATTTAAATGCATGTATGTATATAAAACATTAGGTATATACACTGCCTTGAGCCATCCATGCAGATTGAGGTGGTCTATATATTAAATTAATTAATTAATAGCAAATCCATTTCTTCATATAAGTTTAGCTGCACTTCTCAACCGGCCTCAAAAGAATCTAATTCCAACAGATTCTGCTGTTGGAATTATTGGTGGAAACAAATCCCAAAGGTGCTTTTCCAAAAAGCAACTGGACTTTCTTTCTTTTTATTGAAAACATTTAGCTTCTCATCCAAGAAACTTCTTCAGTTCTAACTGACAGATAGGGAATGGAAAGATTGAGAATTTATCAGAGTGTAAATAGGTGTGGAATCTTCTTGAAAGAATTGTAAACAGGAGATAGGTGGTGTCATGCCCTTTCCCCTCTGTTGAAAGAGGGCTGTTCAATTTTAACATAGATGTTAAAATTAATGTATGTTAAAATTAATCTATATTAAAAGTCAGAACTGAAGAAACTTGTTGAATAAGAAGCAAACCATTTAAAAAAGCCATGAAAATCCAGTAGCCTTTTGGAAAAGCATCCTTGGGACAACTATGACTTGGATGATTGAGAATCTCCACAGACCGAAACAAATATTTGTGGTCAACTCCATGGCCTACTTATGCTTATAGAAAAATATATTTCCTCTTGAGAGCAATACATAGCCTCTGTTCTGGTTTCCTTTGAATTTTCAATCCATGAGAGTTCCATATGTTATCCAAAAAAAGGATGGCTGAGGTTAGGCAAAGATTGTTGGTCTCAAATTTAAAACTGGAGGCAAATCTGCTATCAAGACTTTAGTATCCCCTTTCTTCCATTCTTAAATATTTTCATAATGCCTTCTCTACCCCAGTGAAAAGGACATTCATGCAAATACTCCATCCTTAAAGGTCCTGGAGGGGTAGAGGTGTGTGTGTGTGTGTGTGTGTGTGTGTGTTTTAAGGGATCAGTTCTAGGAAAACCTCTGTGAAAGTCACAAAACTTTGCACCACTGCAATTACTATTAGAAGCTGCAATTGATTCATGCATAGACAAGAAGAGATTCTGACATATGTGCTGGGTTATGAAGCCTGATTGTCTTTTACTGATTCTTGCCTTTCATCAAATTATTTTGATTTCTGTGTCTATCCTTCACTCTACAACAATACAGCAAACAAATAAATAATCCAGCATCTATCTCAAGAAGTTGCAATAGAAATATGGAAATGTTTAACATTAACAATGAATTAAGAGAAATAAATAATTTTGGCATATGCAATACAATAGATTTGCATATTTCATTCATTCTGAGCCATATTATCTGTTTTGCTTTAGGGGTAAATTAGAGGCAGAAGCTTCCTGTATGTTCCACTTCAAAATATTGCATCCAGGTTGTTTGGCTCTTCAAATGGGCTGGACTGCAGCATTGTCATCATAATTTGCACTATTGGCAGGAGGAATATGTATATTAGCTCTGAAGCCTCCATACAAAGGCAAAACGAGGGCCCAAGCAAATAGTTGATAAACACTTATACAAACATGTTATGACTGGTATTTCCATAGTATTTAACTTTGCATAATTTTCATGTGCCAGTGGTATTTTCCTTATCTTTCCAAAAGTTAATTAAATCTATTAGCCTGTAAGTAGTCTTCTCCAGAAAAAAAATGTTGTGTAGGAGATTTAATATGTGTAAAATTTGTATAGGATTCGGAATCACTCAACCCATTGGGAGCTATAGAAAGCCCAAGTTCACCTCAAATGAGAGTAAAAGTGTTATTCTAAATTTTGGAACTTCTGATCATCCTTGCAAAATTATTCTAGCCAAATTAGTTAGCAGGTAAATTTATGCAGCTTTTCTTTGTTGCCATCTTTAATAAACCTACCTTTATTTTCACTTTTAAAGTTAGCATTTCAACATCTTGAAAAGTAATGTAATATCTTTTCACATAAAAATTAAAGACATTTAAGCTCTGCGACTATATAGAGACTTTTTACAGTTCTTATGGAACCTAAAGATAAAATATTTCTATGTATTTATTTAAATTCTGAAAAAAATTCATATACATGGTGGCTAAGAGTTAATACTGATTTGATGACATACAAGCAATTGGCCAATTTAAAAAATTACACATATTTAACAACAAATCAGAGTAAAAATTATGAGGGCATTTCACTGAGTAAAGCTTTGCATAAAATTTGCTGAAGCAAACACAATCAATGAATTCAGAATTTTCCATTATGTACATTATGTAAAGCAGTGTTCAAGATCCAAGAAAAAAAATACTAGCTTAAGATCAAATTGGCTATTGTAACACAGACTTAATTTAGTAAATACAAAATGCATCTTTTCACTGGTAAGGAACTATTATAGCCTAATACCTGACAACAAAAACTGCCTTTCTTTTAGGGTAGAAACCAAAATGAATGCCGATGTGATATGCCATTCCATTCATGCGTGTATAAAGAAAGCAGGTCAACCATACTGTCATCTATACCCTCCTCCTAAGGTGAGTTTCACTTGAGCTTAAAATAAGAGAAGATATAATTTATTTCCCTTTTTAAAATAATTGATCTAGAGAGGAGAGAATCTATGAGCTTTTCTACAACTCTCAAACTCGCTGACGGATCAATGATTAGGTTTTAAAATTTAAATACCTCCATGGTTGATTAAGCCACCAATAATCAACAACATCTAACTGGATACCTTTCCTAGTGTGTCACTCTACTCTTGTCTCATTGCATCATCATGACTATGTCATGCTATTTTAATTATACCCCATGCTTACTCCAATGTGTAAATGATATCCTTATTTTATCCCTATTTAATACTTGGAACAATCTTATATGTTTAAGTAGGCTAAAGATTAGACAAACTCAAGGTTCTTTAATGGCAGTCATAATCATTCAAATATATAAACTTTGGTCTCCTGCATGTTTGTCAAACCAGCAATAGTAGGTTGGTTTATGAATTATTGTATGTAAGTCTATTCAAAGTCACAGAGTTGGGGTCTGTTAAACATCAAAAACAAACTATGTAATATGTAGTAGCCTCTATGTCAATTTTTTAAAATAAAGGACAAAATGTTCATTCAAAATGTCCTTTGTATTGAGAATTGCTCTATGACAAATTGCCCTGATGAAAGTAAATTGGAGGCCCAATTGTAAGGATAAATTGCGTGCTCAGCTTAGTATCAGGAGCCTGAAAATTGGAGTTAAATTGCTTAAAAGGTGATTAAAGGCGTAGTCCCTCATTACTAATTATTTTAGTACCTATTTTCTATGTGATATTGGATCTGAGAAAGGACATTTCTTTTATAGAACACTGACTATTTCATTCTATAGAGAATTAATTATTCATCTTATTTAACAATGGCTCCATTTGAAAAAGGATGGGATAATTTCCATGTTTTTGAGAATATTAAACCTTCTCAGATCAGCAAAGGTAAAAGAAAGATGAGCTCATTGCTCATTGCTGCATGGCTGAATCACTTTTAAAAAGAGCTCAAAATCAACAGCTGCTATTTGTAACAACTACAATTCCGTGTTCAGAAATAATCATTCTCCATAAGAGAAAACAGTCACCTTTATACATAATTTGCAAGTTTTCTGAAAGTAAATGCTAACTTACTATAATTAATTTCAATGTGATGTTGAAATATTGTATTGTAATTAAATCTATGTGGCTCATAAGCACTTATATGATGCATAAGTAAAATTTGGAGAATAGATGCAAGATTTAAGAGTTTGAAAATACTTTAATTCCATTTTTCTATTACAAGCTCCTCTAACTTTGCAAGTAAGATGAGAATTTTTATTCTCCTGCTTTTGCTTTTGGCTAGAGTAATCTTACAAGCATTCTAGTTTATTCTTAGATATTGATGTGATATTTGAAAGACCTTCCATGCAGTATGAAAATGTTAAATAGAGACTTCTGGTTCCGGTACGCGGCGACGCCGGTCAGGTCTAGAGACTCGTCTCCACTCCGGCAAGGTTTTCTTCGCCGGTAGACCCCTTAGTGGGTCAAAGATCGCCCTGGAGGGGCGACTACCGAGGAGGAGGCTTGCTGGTGACTGCGGGAGAGCAGCAGCTTCTCTCGTGGCTCCAGCTATCTCCTTAGGGCTGACGGAGCAAAGATCGTCCAGCAAGATGGCTGATTACCCTGCTGCACCACCTGAAAGTGACATCTACATCTAAGCGTAATAGACTCACAACGGATGATCCAGATGAGACCCCTTCTTCTCCTCTCTTCACCCTACTCTGTTTTTTTTCTGTTTTTTTTTTTTTTTTTTTTTTTGCTTGTAAAAGCTCATTGGAATTATTTCCCTGTCTTGAAAAATCAGCTTTTGTATATGTGGGAAGAAAGGCATAAAGGATAAAAGAAAAATTTTTAAAGACTATACTTTATTCTCATCACTTGGGGAACAAAAGGATAAAACAAAAAATTTTAAAGACTACACTTTATTCTCATCACTTGGGGTACAGAAAAACTCTTTTCTAAGAGCTGTACTATTATTTTACACTGGAAGATTATTTCTTTTTCCACTTTTTCCTTTAAAAGATAGAAGAAAGGAAAAAAAATGGTGTCTTGAAAATTTTTTTTAATCTACTGAGGACATCTAGCGGCGAAAAGTTAACATTGCAATTGCTGATTATTGTTTTGAGATGAGATAGTCTCGACCTTGAAACTACCTTTGAAGAGAAAAGATAAGCTGATGCAGCTGTGGGAATTGTGGGGGTGGATATTGCTTAACTTTTATTAATTACAGCCTCCACTAAAAGAAAAAAAGGGATTCTCTTCAATTACCATTAAAATGAAGAAACCTTATTCACAATTAAACTTTAAATTTATATTGGAAAAGATTTATGAGGCTACTGAAGAAATATGTGCTACAATGAAAGAGATTACTACAGAATTAAGAGCCAGAAACTCTATCACAAACCTTCAAACTGACTTTCAGACTACATCTGATCATTCTATAAACCAAAACATACTAGAAGAGAAATCAATTGAGATTAAAGAGGAATTTATTTTACCTTACAAGCATTTTATTTATATCCTCGAGGATCAGAAAAATCAAAGACGGAGATTTGAACCTTTAAAGCTACGAGGCTTTAAGGACAAGAGAAATAGACATCCAATGCAGAGGACAGGATGCTTTTTACTGTCTCAAATGATATTACAAGCAACAAAGAGAGACCTATCGGCTGAAACGGAAGCTTTGTTATGGAAACCTGCCTGGCACAAAAAGAAGGCTAGAATAAGACTGAAAAGAGAAATTTTAAATTATATGTAATGGATCAAAGGCATTGTAGAATTATGGATTGATTTAAGGATTAAGAGATTATTAGAATATATATACTAAATAGATTAAGAAGGTATTTTTTGGAATAATAGGTTTATTTGTATGAAAACTATTATCTAATGGAATGAAGAAAATTGAAGAGGTATTTTAGATCTGGATTGATTTAATAATTAATTGAATGTTAATTTAGTAAGATGATGTTTTTGTTTGATAATATGGATGTTATTAAGTATGATAACTAACTGGATGAAATTTGAATCTCGTTCAATGGACTGAAATGATTTAAGGTTTGATATTATCTTGTTATCTTAAAGAGATTGATGGATGGATGGATTAGACATGTACAGGGTAGATTAATATTTTATTTTAATTAGGAGATATTAGTGGAAGAAGAAATAAACAAGACTTGTGATAAAATTAAAGAACTAGAATATATCTGGAAGGGATACCTGAATTGATAATGTGTTTATTTAAAGTTAAATTTGATTATGGTAATTGTAAATTTATAAAGCTCAAAACGGGTTTAGGATTAATAGAAATTTAAATTAGAAATGGATTATCTTAAATATATTAAGCTATTTGAGGGAAATAGAGAGGGAATATTGGATGTATTGATTTGAGTTATTCATATATGATTTTATTTTTGGATGTTTGATTACCCCAGCACCACGGTGTGTCTTGAGCACCTTGTTCTAAGAATTTAAAAAACAATAAAATTTGTTTTAAAAAAATGTTAAATAGAATAAAATAAAACAAGGTTCTAAAAGAACAGGATGTGAAGATAATAACAATGAGGATGAAGCAACAAATAATTTGGGATAAAGTTCTGTTTAATCTGTGAATGGCATGGTGTGGCATGACATGATAGAGAAATACATGTCTACGTATTATTATATAGGTCATGAGAATAAACCAGCAAGTACTCTTTGATATCCAAGATTTACTCTGTTAAATTCACCACATGCTTCAAGAGCAGATCTTGAACACTTTTTGTCGTTCCATGTCTCCTACAGTCTATGTTGCATAGAGTTTATACACGTAGTTGTGCAGTTATGCAAATGAGTAACTTCCAGTTTAAAAGGGTCTGCTGTTGGTGAGATAGCTAACTAAACATAATGCTTATCTCTAAACTATGATTACAAAGCACTATAGGAATGAAATATTATAATGGGCAAGTTATATCTTTTATTTATATAATTTAGGAGCAACGTTCCTAGCACATAAGATGGGCAGTTGTTAGCAATTGACTTAAGAAATAATTCCTCTAATCTTTACTACTAGTGGAATGCAAGTTTATGTCAAACAAGGGGTGATGGAAAGAAGTTACTCTGGCTATCCAATAAAAATAGATAATAGAGATTATAATATTTGACTTGTGTTTGTTTTGTATAACGATGTTTGCCATCATTTTTGCAGAACACATTTAAAACAATTATTAAAATACAGTGTATTTTCAGCCATATTTTAGTACCAAAAAGGACTCTTTTGATCCTTTTCCCCAAACTCAGAAATATCTACTGATATTTATAGAAACTCTCTTACTGTTCAGATGCTCCATAGTAATTTCAGCAATAAATATACTAATAACATAAATCTTCAGTGTAAAGTGCACTTAAATTTCAAACTTCCATGTATATATAATAACCTCATGTTGCTGTTGTTTATGTAGATTACAAAAAAAACCTTGCCAATCTATAGCCCAATTCCCAACTTTTCAAGTCCCATACATAGAAGATATTGGAACAGAGTAACGTTTTGAAGGAAACTTCAAATGTAGTGACCCTAAATATATAGTTTTTATTTTATGAAAAATAAAATGTTCAGGAAATGAAATATGTTAAATAACCACTTTGATTTGTATTCAAGCCCCAAATGCATACTCATATTAAAAGCAAAAATCACTGCAAAATTAAAACACCAAGCTCATTAATAAATACAAAATTCATAAATGTATCCAAAAGGGACATATTAAAACAGAATAAAATAGAATATAAGTCAACATGCATATTTGCATCCTACTTCATCAACTAATATTCTAGTCAGTTTTGAATATATAATTTAAAGGCATAAGGCAAGATACAAACTTTCCATTATAGTTTAGTTAGAAATAGAGGCTTATGGAGAAAATCAACTTATTACTTGAGGAGGCTTATATGTGCATAGAGGGTAATTTAGATCCCAAATTCCAATATTAAAATTGGACT